TTACTAAATTTGTATAATCGATCTTACGATGTAGATCTTAAGAAAATCAGCCAATCACACGAATGTCCCCCTATGAATGCAGCCGTTATAAAGGACTTGATTGTATTTAATGTTTGGATGATAAATTTTAATATACAGTCCTCGTCATAAGTAACTGACCCCTGATACCTAAACAGTGTATAATCTATAAACCGGTAACAGTTCAAATGCACGTCTTAAATGTGACATGTTACGCCGAGTATATTGTTTGATGTATGTGGCATGGGTGGCACAAATCCGGCAGAAAACACAAAAAATGCGAACAATACGGGAAATAAATGCCTAAATCTAGCTTGGAGTACTAATAAAATTGTCAGGAAGACAATTTTACATATAATTTTGTTCTTCGCTCTAACCCTAACCCTGATTCTAACTTTAAAATAACTTTTTCCGAATTTTGCCGGGATCGGCGCAACCGTATATCGATATGTCATTATTTTTTATTAGAATAAATTTTTTTTTTCGCACGCAAAAATCATGTCATACTTATTAATTATTCTCGTAACAATAGAAAGATTAGATAAAATCATCGTTATGTCATTATTTATTGAGTAAAAATTATTAATATAAAGAGCGTGGGTAAAATTAGTATTATTAAGAGCGTGGGTAAAATTAGTATTATTAAGAGCGTGTATAAATAAGTGCACTTTTTCTCCTTAACTTGAAACTTCATACTCGTGCCTTATCATTTATATACTTCATGCTCGATTGACTTTAAACATTGCGCCCTCCTACTACCATCGCTGCCCATTTTTTTATCAGTCGTGTTCACCAACTTTTTAGCTTAACAGAGAATAACTGAAGCTTATTCACTGCCGTTGCCTGTTAACTGCTTACTATGTATATCTGCAGTTTAGCGTTTGATAGCAATTTATTTTGTTTAGGCGCGTAAAGTCTGTTAACTGGGCGAGCAACCGGGAGATGGTAAATGGATTTTGCATTTATATTATTCCAACGGTTTAACGTTAAGGATCAATCAATTATATGCTGGACTTTTGATTATCGTCAACTAACATTTGCGCGTATGATTTAATTTCAAAAATATTCGTATAATAGTGTATCGCTAACAGCAATATAAAATCATCACAACAATCGTCCTATCGATTGGTCTGATTCGTATATGCTACATGGGCGCAAGTCTTCGTACCGTCGCTTCACGTTTGAGTTTGCTGAACGTTACTCCTATTCACATCCGTCATCAACTGCAACTGTTCAGGAAACAACCAATGGAACGATTGTTAACACACAATATCATCCAAAGCGTAGAAATTTCCTTATACGAGCGAATAACATATCGCGAATACAAAACGGAAACCACTCAGTTTATAGTCGGAAGTGACCTCCTATTCATAGTAGATTAATAAAAATTCTGCCATGGTGGTTTTACTATAGAAGAGATTCCTTCCCGGAACCCAACTAGATTCATTCTGTTCAGTTGATTTTACGTTTTATCCAGGTGAGAGGCTGATCAGTATTTTATTCGTTCGACTTTGTTGAGGGGGATGCCCTTCTCTGGGTTAGTTTGCTATCGCTAGTATTTCATTCTACCAGGAGGTGGAGACATACCTCGTCTTGGTTCGTTGGTTTCAGACTGAATGTTGTGCTGGTGTATAGCTGCTCGGGATTTCAACAATCCTTAGTTCTTGGAAAATAGTCTTTCGCGTAATTGCTGACGCTCTCGTATGTTGGATTGTATCATTTTTCTTGTCATGTCGTCATCACCTACAGGTTGTGCCAGAGGATTAACTACCCTTTTGTTAGTCTTCGTATCCGTCTTACGGCGCGGATTCTTCGTCCTGTTGCAGTATACGGGTTCTTGCATTATGACGATGAATACAGTCCAATTTTTTACTTGCTGTTTGGCTTTATCTCGCTCTTTCCGGTCGAGTAGATGATCCATACGATCCCATGCGTTTTCTTCCGGTTTTCTCGTCTGTGGTTTCCATTAACCAATTATCTTTCTGGTGTCCGTCGTTAATTTTATCTGATTAGTTTTAGTTCTGAGCTGTCATCCTTCTGCCGCTGAAGTTCAACTTAGTATCGTCGGGGTTCCTACAAATTTGATGTCTATACTGATTTTATTTGTTATGATCATGACAGTTTCTGTAATAAATGGAATCGCTTTATTGTTTTCTAGTAACTTGTATACTGTTGCTTTTCTATTAAAATATAACCAAAACTTTAATCACTTGTCATCGTCATCGTTAATATTTGAAATTTTATTTTTGTGAATTGAAGAGAATGATGAGATTGTCTTAATAAGAAAATGATAAAATGCCTCCGATAAAATAAAAAAAAAACAATGTAATCAAAAGGCAAGCTTTCTGTAGTACCCTGTTGAGTGTGAACTTGTAATGCTTCTTCAAAAATGGCAAATAAATTGTCATTATCCAATGCAACATCAAATTTTTTCCATCTTAAGTTTCGCTTCATAATCATCTCGATATCACCAATTTACAATGTTCTTTTACGTAATCAACACAGACCATCAAATTTATACATACAATAATCTATATAAAAACGTCAAACAATAGACAATTGAGAATTTGAATGAGAGCTACATTTTTCGATTGCGTGGTGGTTGGCGAACTGGTTCGCTTATCGACTAAGTACAATGCTGCGCACTCACCAACATCAACAGAAAAAACATACTCGAAATTCATAAGCTATTAAATATTAGATTGAGAAAATTCACATATATGTATTTTTCACTGAATCATTAATACAAACCTTGACTATGTAGATGTTTATGTGATAACTATTAGATAAATATAAAATGTGCATGGAATGTGGTTCAGTAAGCCATATTGAAGATAAATACGTAAATTCTATTAACAAGCCAATGCACACAATTAATAATAATCAATCAATCAAGGGCGTTGATGTTTAACAAAGTAATCACAATGTTTAACGAATGGTTAACCTCTTTAATTCGACTAGCTCGGCGTTCGACTCTAATTTCGACTGAGAGAGGTTTTCGGTTTAAAGAATATTTGATACACCTATATGTTTTATGCAGACAAATTTTGTTGATTTCGTCTCAGGGAGGGTTCAAATTAGTCAAAGTATCAATTAAAGTATTCACAATCAAAAAGAATTTAAACAATGGCTTTATTTCAACTTTCCAACAGCTTGCATTTTTGAATTTGTATAAATCTCTGAAGGATTTGTCTTTAAACTAATCTATTATAATTTCAAATAAAACCTGGAGCAGAATTCGCGACTAAATTAAATCTTGAAAGTTCAAGTGATTTAATCGTCCACAGTTAGGATTGTTATTGTGCTGAAACAAAAGAACGCACGCATTATATGTTAACTTTTTAACGGAGTAGTTGATTGAAACCTTTTATTGAAAATTAAAATTTGGATCGTTCTTTAATTGGCTTAATAAGGCGAGTCATTCAAACATGAATGCTGTAGCTGTACGTAGTTCTTTTTACATTTCTGATAACATATTTACACGTGGCAGTTAATTTTTCTATTGCTCAAGTTGCTATTACATGTACATGTATTTAGATTATACGTATCCATTGAAAAATTTGAATGTTGTGATACTACATCAATGCGATTCTTTGTACATGTATAAAAACTCTTACATGTATTTGGTCATGCATCAATGAAATTCTTTGCCTATTTGATTAATATCATTATACGTACGTCTCGATCCTGGGGTATTATTTGAAATCTAAAAAAGACTAATTTATAATACATATTATTCACAATCTAGTTTATATAAATGACCCACGAAATGCATGTACATGCATCCTTAATAGCTTAGAATATTTGTAAACTTAATAAAAGTGTTATATTATGGAAATATTTCAGATGAATAGTTTTACAGCAGTTTTCATACTTGAATACTGTAATATTATTTTATGTGAGAAATACTTTATAGCTTGTTCAAAATAGTTTCTTGTACATGTACTATCTTTACGATTCTTGAAGAATAATAAAGGAAGTATTGTCATCAGCTAATACGGTTCCGGAGGTCTGCCTTTAATACATTTGTTTCGGTTGTTGTTTGAACGTCCGAGTATGCAATAACAAAAAGTCTTGATAACTGATAATGAATTTAATGTACTACCAGGTTTTTATTTCAACAACCTTAATAGCGAATTCATTGTTTCTTTATCTTTTAGTCTGTTAAATTTCTTGAATGTCTTTGAAAATATAAAACTTGATTTTCTATGGGAAACCTCTTTCTAGATTTGCGCTCTGAATAATGTAGTCTTATCCTTAATAAAAAAATTTACCTATCCATTTGAGTTGCAGTAGCAATAATTGTAGGGGGATTATCCACATGAATAACTCTCTTTTGACAAGGCTTTTAATTGCCATACCGATACATGCACATTGCACATCTTGAAACAAAGATACATCGCTATACCATATACGTATACCTACCCTGCATTGTGCGTCGCACATGCATACTGCGCACCTTTCAAAAAAGATCTGAAAATTTAGTTGCAGTAATATTATAAGCGTTGCCCTCAAAAGTGTATATTTTGGAGGTTGACCCGTCGCTTGGGTGGTATTTATCCAGCTTCTTAAAATAGAAAAATGAATCACAAGATTAATACAGGGAAATCTCCTTAAATGCACCCCTCCATAAGTGCATGCGCTTCCTAAATGCGTGCTTTGCAAACTATTTGGACTTGTTCTCTAAATGCACACTTTCTATCAATCCGATCCTTAGGCGGTATGTATAATATTATTAGTAGTAGTAGTGATATTCTTGGAAGCTTCCAATAATTTCAATTTCTTCCAAATTCCTATATAAAACGTTATTGTATGTTCCTAATGAGGAAGCTAATAAAAAACATCACTTGTATATTAGGGTATTATATATATGTATGTATATGTATATGTATAATCTATTTGTTATTTGCTATTTGCCATTTTTGTATTTGTTCTATCGTTATCGTGCTCTTGATAACAAATGTGCGCGACTCATATAATGTCAAGTAAAAAAACTATAAATTATTGATCACAAATCCTCTCCTTGAATATTTTTTAATTCTCTTTTGAACCTTAAAAAAAGTATGAATAATCCTACGAATTTATCTCTTGTCTTTCACACACGACAAGATCAATTACAAAACCAAAATCGATCGCGAAACTATCAAAATCAGCAATCTGAAATGATGTTGCAAGGTACATTAGTCATCTTGAATGACAACCCTACTTCAACAAACACAAATGACAATAATACTTCGGTTATACTCATGGAATCATATTCTTAGATAGGCTTATTATGACTATACGTGTTTCTTTTCCTATCGTATACATCGAATTCTTCTTATTCCATGTATATTTATCATAATCTCATTTTTGATATAACATTTTAAAATAAATTACATCTGAATGGTGGATGAAAAAACGCTTTGATTTTCATCTTATTTTCTCCGATTTACATTATATTAACTAGAGTCAGTTAAATTAAATCTTTTCTTAATTTTTTCTATAAACATAAGGTTTTTACATCATTTTTCCATTGTTTTGTAACATGTAAATTAGATGAAAATGTTAATAGACAGTCTTTTGAATGACAAAGGTGTTAAGTAATAATAATCAGCAGCAAGAAATATGTTTTATTTTATTACTAATCAATAGTGGATTGCATGTCTCATTTTTTCTATTACTTCATTGATACGTTCTGGCATTGAGTCTATAAAGTGAAGAATGTAATAGTATTCCATGCGGAAAATACGGCTTCCTCCAAGTCAGCTTCTGTCTGTGGTTTTCGGTTCTTATGAATCCAGCATTTAATCTCTCTTCACACACTTTCAATTGAACTCAGGTCTGATAATTGTGGTGGCCACTCCATTGTCACAATTCCAAGATAATCTTTAAGCTCCTTTACAAATTTTCTCTTGTGTATTTGTGCATTGTCCTCTATAAAATATTGTTTCGTCTGCAACCATAACCATTGGGTAAATTACATTTAAAATAATGTCCCCATACTTTCACCATTTATACGTGAGGGGGTGCGTACCGAATGATTTAAATTGAGTCCACTCACACATGCCCAGACGTTTGGCCACTTTAACGGTTGCTTGTGTGCAATTTGGATCATAAAGCTCATATTTATGACACCAAACACGAGCTTTTCCATAATAATCGGTGCTGATAGAGGATTTATAGTCCAAAGAACGCGTCGCCAATCTTCTTTGATCCAATTTTGTGAATTTAGCCCCAGTTTAACCCTTTGATTCGATTTGTTTCATTAATCCATGGTTTTTTACGTGCAATATGGCATTTTTCTTTAAACTTCTTATCAGGGTATGTGAAGATATGTTATTAGATGATATTTTAGTGGCAGGCATTCTCCTCATCATTGGATTTGCTTTAATTTTTCGAAGTTCAGAACGATCATCAACAATTAATTTTCGGCCACTATTCTTTTTTTCAAATAACTACAATTTTGGGTCAATTGACACTAGTAACTGAAGACATGTCTTGTTTCTCGAGTATTTCGACAGTGTGACATTCTCCCAAATGGATTTACATCGATATAGCGATAGCGATAGGGACAATTACGTATCGTTATCGTGTAGAGTCTATGTATATCTATTTTATATTATCGTGATGTTAAACTCGTTTTTTTAGTTTCGCTGATAAACTAATAGCTTTTTTTTTGGTTAGCAAGAGCTAGGCTTAGGATTTGATATATTCAACAAGTGTTCTAGAACACTTGTTATTCGAGTTTGTGCAACCGAATTTCAAATTATAACTAACAATTTACAATTCACCAATCTATCGTTATATGTTGTTAAAACGTGCGTCAGTTTTCAAGTCTTCGAGTTTCTGCAGTGACTTTTGCTGTCACCATTGTTGGTCTGCGAATTTCTCGGTCATTGTTGTCCATAGGTAATTGTGTTTAGAACAGGACAATTCCGCGAGAGTTGCTGGACTTATGCTGTGGCACGCTATAGCTGTTTTTAACATTCTTTTTCCTCGTTACTTCTATTGGCTATGTGCTATGTTGCATAAATTGTTATATCACGAATTCGCTTGAGAATAACATCAGTTTGGTTAGTTGGGTGGGTGGATGGGTGGGGGATTAGGGTGTACTACTGTGTTGTGGTGAACTTGATGGACCACTTCTGGAAAGTCGTGGAGTGCTTTAAACCAGCTTCATGCTCTGACCGAAGCTGTTTCTCAGCAAGTTGCAGTAAACAAGACCACACAAAATTCTTGAAGAGGCGAAAAGTAAAAATGCTGTGGATTGTGATTTGTTTTAACAAACTCTATTTTTACCTTTATTATCTTCCCACCTCGTACTCAATATTTCCAATATCAAACTGCACTTTCTCTTTTGCACCTTTCTCAAAGCCAGTTATTAATACATTGCATGACGAACACCGTGTTGTTTTTGATTTTTGTGATCGTACTTCTTGCTTTATTTTTCTGGACACCAAGTCATTTAGTGCAACCCGTGCTGTCTCTGTCTGAACCAACATGCATTTTTTTATTTTTCCAGGATACCCAAGTGCCAATGGACATGGAATTTGATGATTTTTAATTATTAGACTATAAACAAATTTTTGGCTCGCTCCAAATATCTTTTCGATTAAACTGCAACAGATTTTTGGCTCACTCTGAATATCTTATTTACAAAATTTACGGTCAGAGTTGTCAAATTATCTATGGTTGTTTTTCAATGTGATTTATCAATAAATAAAATTATATAACATTGATATATATATGTGATAAATAATTTTGGCAGATTAAAACGGAATCTGATTAAAATGAAATCTGATGACCTTTTTTGAATAAGAATCGTTGCTGCTGATGCTGAAATTGATCAGCCAATAGGATGCGTTAATGTCAGCTCCGGCCGTCACGATAATTGTAAAAAAAAGGGTTAAGTAATTCGGGGGGTTTTTTGGTGAAAATTATGTCGGGGTATAGTATTAAATTTTGTTATTGATTATTTATATACCCTACTAGTAGATTTTATTTTAATTTGCCACAATAATTAACAAATCTAACATAACAAACGTTTAATACGTACTTTAGAAAACTTAATTTCTGAATATCAAGAAGTTTCACATTAAATTCATCAATAATCTTTTAATTAATTAATAATCCTTTAGTCATGGTTTTTCGAAACAAAATTGATGATATTCTTGCATTTGTAAGTGTCATGATGTCAAATAAATATATATTGAAATGCTGAATGTTGTAAGTTTAGCAACATCCTCTTTTCAACTACGATGATTAGAATTAACCAGAGAAAAAACAAAAATATAGAATTCGTGCAAAATTTTAGCTGCTTCAATTATAGTTGGATAGAAAATCACAAATATAAAATTGGTAAAAAAATTTATCAAGAGATTGTTCATTTACATATGAAAATAAATAGTCTAATAATTGGACTAATATACAAAGAAAATTATAAAATTCTTTATCTATAAGCATTTTCGAGAATAGTTGAGGTGCTTTCTTCATCCAAACCGTTAAAAGAGCCAAAATATTGTTCTTGACGGTTAGTTACAATTTCACCATTTACGAACTGATTTGACATGTCGTCGTAATATCGATATGTATTCATTTGCGTCTGTGGTTGTTGTATATTTGGATTAGGTTGAATATTTGGAACAGATAATCGCTGAGCAGGCATTTGATTTGGTAGCGATGGCTGCTGGTTTTGCTGCTGTTGCGTTTGCGTAAAGAGACTATGTCGAATATTGCTATTATTTTGTTGTATTTGTGATGAAATTGACGCTCTTGTATGATGATTATTATTAATTGATCGCGTGAACGGTCTTAAAATTTGGCTCATTATTTTAAAAAAAAATTAAAGCGGTGAAGTTTTTCTTTATAAGCGGAGTTGATATTAGCTCTTAAATAACAGTTCGAGTTCGTTATATATCAAACAATTTAGGATATTTTATTTTTTGTTGATGATCTCAAACTACGTAACGGTAATACATATTAGAAATGGAAAAAAAATTTTTGTTATTTTGTACATGTATTTCCTTCATCATGCATTCTCTAATTAAGGCTCTTTTAAACAAAAAAGATCTTTATATAGATACTTTCGTTATTGTTTCTTTATGATTATTTATTTTTTGTATTTTTATGTTATGAAATTTTTTATATTACGTATATTGTAACGATGTTCGTCTATCAAGGTGGAACATCACATTGTGACACGCATGAGTCTATCATATTACATGTACATGTATATATTTTAAAAGAGACTTGGCGTCATTTATTTCGAACAAAAATTATAGAGTTCATTTATCATCCTGATCGTTTTACTCGCACAATTAACAAAATAATTATTTCCCTAAAAAGGTTTTTATTTCTATTGTTTAAAGATTTGAAGGGTTCAGTTTCAAAGAATAACAATAGACACATGCTTTATGCATTTTTGTTATTGAGAAACTGTGCACGTGTGTGTATTAAATTATTTCTTGTATATTAAAACGCGCGTTAAATCTAAATCTTATATTTTGATTTTGAACTTGATAAACAAATTGTTCTGTTCGCATTAAGTTTGCATCAACAATTAACGCCGACGGATGGGTTAATATATCGAAGTTAAATTTATCGTTATCCACACATCAATAGTAAATGACTTCAGACATGCATACACCATGCACCTTATACATGTACATGTAATTTGCAATATCGATATGTATTTTTACAGTTTAGGAAAAAAACACATAAGAATCAAAATCCCCGAAATGCAGGTCTATGCATGCATTTGAGATCATTGCAGATACTCGTGCTTTTTTACCTCAAAAAACGATTAATAGATTTTTGCGAAATTTATTATTTCTCTCGTTATTATCTTTTTTTTTGCTACGAGCTATTCAAAAAGATGTTCTCTCCGAAGAGAAATAATTATTTCGTAAATAATTAGGATGAAACCAATTAGAGATTTCACAAGGTTAACTTATTTAAAAATTTTTCGTCTAATCCTACTTTGCTCCGTTTGCATCACGAGTAATTTTTGGCAAATAATAAATATTATTTATCATTCCCGAATAGGATATCTAGACAAGCGACTTATATTTTTTATCATAAGACAACCAATTTTCCAATTTCAAATAATGATTTGGAAAGTAAGGTAATTTTTATTTGATGGTCTGTTAAGGATAAAAATAATTAATAATAATTAATGGATGCGGTATAAAAATATCTTGCACGTTATTTCTCTAAGATAACTATAATCAATGCATATTTTCAAAAAATGCACATTTCTTGGGTGAAAAAAGTGTCAATGTGGGTTTAACCAGAAATTAATTACTGGCCAAATGGTCGAATTAAAAAAACCTTCATTTATAGTTATGGATGATTGGTTGCATAACATGCCTTAAATATTAACCAATCATTTATCCATAAGTCCTAACCTTAACCCTAAGCCTGATCCTAATTCTAATGAATCAGCCAATTAAAATGTGATTTTACATGTGACAAGAACGACATTTATTATTTTCAAAGCTATATACCTAAATTTTTATAATAATTATTTCTACATTTTAAAGCTAATTAATTGTATTTTTTAAAAAAAAATAATACAAGACTTGTGGCAACTTAAATTGCAAGATCTGTTTTTATTGGAAAGTAAAAAAAAATTTTTCCTATACTTTATATATGAAAATTGAAAATTTAGTTTTTTTTATATATATCTCTTTCTCTATTAGTAATTAATTCTAAATTTTATATCATTTTAAAGTTAATCAATTATGTTTTTGAAAATGTACAAGTGTTATGGCACTTTTAAATGAACGAACTGTTTTTAATTATAAAATAAAATTTTTTATATATATTTACTATATAATTTTAAATCGGGCGTTACTTTACTGTACATAGCGATAGTCATATTGGCATAAAATTAACGATATGTGTAACGCAAGATTATTATCAGTTAGGTCATGATGACGTTGAGGAGTGGTCGTGAAATCTGAAATGGACCAATGAGATTAGAGAAATAGGTATAGTGCACTGATTTCAGCTTCAACCGCCACAATAGTTAATGTAGATACCACGTGAGCATTAGATACAAATAAGTAAGCCAAGACTGGTGCGATAACCATGACGCTTAATGGTTTAGATGCATTAACGCAAGCCCCAGTTTATCTTTTACTAGATATAGATGTGTAATAACGATAAAGGATAATTTTATAACAAAACCCCCATTTGGGCGGCAAAATTCTTATCCCATGATCAAAATATTGTATTACATGTATTATACGACATACGACATGTATTCAATGAAGTGGCAATGAGTAAACTTTAAATTTTCTGTTGGTCACGGGTGAGGGAATTTTGCCGTTTGCCACATGACTTAATATATCTCCTCGAGCTTTTAATAAGAAAAATAAAAACATCAAATCAAAATTCATAGATAGACGTTCAAATATAGTTTAGTAGTTTTTATTTGCTCTTTTTACTTTACTCATAGTAATATTAAGTCAACTAAAAATAATCCATAAAATAAGAAAATTCTTTTAAAAATATATAATCAAGTAATAATACAATAAAATAGATAATCACCATTATCATTATCAATATTATTGTTCTCTTTTTCATCATATTTTGTATATATATAAACATATATTCTTCAAATTTGATGATACTTGTAATATTGGTTAATGTTCAAAAAAACTTAAATAAGCAATAGTCACCTTCTTCCATCATTATCTATCGACGACCAATCATCTTGAAGCAATCCACCATCTGTTCTCCTGATGAGTCAACGTGATAGATCGAACCAACTACGCCGTAACAACCCATACTTCCAATCTTTTATTCCGTGCATACAGTTTGTAAGCTGTTTCGAAATCATTGCTGTTACAAATCGATATAAACTCTGATTCATCGTCTTTATATTTCAATTTTTTTATCTCGGAGAGACCAAATGCTTCTTGAATATCTTTCTTGATGTCTCCGTAGAGTGCTGAGATGGGAAATCGTAAAATACGTATTTCTTCGCTTTCTTTTGCACCAACATGACACTTGATAATCATTTCATCCTGCCATATATTAAAAGAAAATTATCAGCAATAATATTCAGTAATTGTAAACGAGGGACAAATAAACTATTACCGGCACAGGTGGTAACGAAGGTGAGATACGACCCCAATTTGTGACATGACTCCCTCCTTGGCCTCCTTTATTCCTCTTATTCAATTGATAATTAATGTGTAAACCACACAAGTCAAGTGGCTGTTGAGGAGTTGTATCATTCGCGACTATTCTAATTTGTGTTGCTTTGTCTGTGTGGCTTTAATGTTTTAGAATTTTATTCACATTCCAACAACAAATCAAATTCTAATTGTTATTTGCAAAAAACACGTGATAACTCACTTAGGTTCTGACGAATCGGATCCTCTCCATCGGGAAAGATTTCTCGAGAGTCATAAGATATCTATTGTAACAATGAACTTGCGTGTTAGACGACATTCATGTTTTAATCAACGAAAAATTCAATTACGCAAACAATATTATTAATATAACTCAATCAATTAGACTATTATACTGCTAATAAAATCACTTGCCATATTTTTTGCTTCAGGTTTAAAAATCAGCACGATCGTATCACTCTGAACTTTATTCACAGCATCAAGCACATCCAATGGTAAAAAAATTTTACATCGGCCTTCATTAAAGAAAATACTAATAGTCTCTTGCATATACTTATAGCGGAATTTCAGTAGTTTATAATCGTCCACGTTCTCCAATTGTTCCGAGTATTCCTCAAAGTCAATTCGTTTCAGATAAAATTCCACATAATGATGCGGATTCAAATTTGTGCCTCCATTGACGGTGCTAATGTAGTTGTTGATCGGTTGAGATGCCGGAGGGTAGTTAGTAGTAATGGCATTGTTACTTTCATCATCAATTGGACTATTATTGCTATTACGAGTGTTTTGGTAGTTGGCATGTGTTATGTGATGATGAGAATTGTAATATGGTCGTCTGCCGGGTCTTCTTTTGTGAAAGGTTCCCCGTGGAAATCGTCCATTTGGACGTGTGTTGTTATCTGTATATACCTACAGAACCGATGTTATTCATTACCATACTATAATTGTATATTCAAAAGACGAGTGAAATAACGAGCCATTGAAATTCTTTACCCAATCAACATCCCGTTTCTCCATTTTCACAATTAATGATAGTTTTCTCGAATATTGCTGCTCTCTAAACAGGAACCCTTATAATTTAGTTGGCGGTACCTGTTAATAAAAATAATAAAATTTAGCATAAATTAACGAGATCGAAACTTGCAACAAGAGGTTTTGCACAAACAGCAGATAAAATAATTCATTTCACTTTATACTTGAACAATCGGTGTAAACCTAAAATATATTCAACCGCCAGAAAACCCTTTTTTATTTCACGTTTGTTTTAAAAAAAAAACCAGCAAAGCCAATTTATCAAGCAAGAAAAAGAATCTATACTCTTTCTGCATCTTCAGCCAATCAAATCAGCAAAAAGTGTGTGAAGGCGCAATACGTATTAGGAGTGTCACAGATGCAAGAAGATGCATACACGTGCGTGCATATCATGAAATTTGGCATAGTTATGAACAAAATAGTCTATGCGGGGGAGGGGAAGTTCAATAAAATTATC